CCTCCAGCACCTCCTCACCGGCCCGCCAGGCGGCCTGGCGGTGCGGGGCCGACACGGTCACCACGATGCTGTCCTCGCCCACGGGGACCACGCCGAGCCGGTGCACCATGGCGATCCCCTTGAGGCCGTGCTTCTCCACTGCGTCCTTGGCGATGGACATCATGGAGCGCAGGGCGACTGGGTTGTAAGCCGAGTACTGCAGTTCCTTAACAGCCTTGCCGTCGAAATTATCCCTAGTGGTTCCTGTTTCGGGGTTGCGGGTCAATGAGGCCCTGTGCTCGTGGTGCTGTTGTTCATTGGCTTCGCAACAGCCGTGGTTTCTTACCGACAAAAACGACAATGGCTCCAGCCTCTGGACTTCGCACCCTGTCCATCACGGCCTGGACGTCCAGGCGGTCGTTCGTCAGGGCGACGTAACATTTGTCTTCCTGCACCTCGTGCGCGCCGGCTGGGATCTGGGACTGATCGGCCATGATGTTTGTTTTTGGCAATTATTTTCGATGGGCCTCTGTGATATAGGTAGGCGGGTAGTTATAGTCGAAGTCAAACTCTGTGTTGGCAATGGAAGTGATCTGTAACGATGTTCAGGCGAGAAACGGCTGATGGCAACGCAGAGGTGGAGACAGCAAATGCAACGGCCTTCTGTTGCCTGCGACACCCCTTGAGCGTAAGCCCTGATGCAGAGGCATTTATTTCAAAGCGCCCGAGACATAGACTGATATATTAGGAATTGAGGGAAGGTATGGCCCGCTCGCCTGCCCTTGACCTGTGATTTCACCTTAGATCGCAGCCCCTCAAACAGCCCCCGTCCTGTGGAGACGTCACAAGAAGATGACTCAGCGCAGGTGCCCGCATTCCTTGCATCAAATCAACCGACGCGGAGCGAGCAATCGCAGGGCCGCAGGGAGCATCCCTTTAGGACGTCGATTCTCGCGCCAACACCTCGACGCTTCTTCGGACGATTACGACCGCAAGGGAACAGCGGCATGGTCGCTGTCGCGGGCTAGGCGTCACACCTGCCATGTTCGACGACTACCGCTCGAGAAGCCGTGAGGGCCGGCACCGTTCGCCCCGGCGCGACGACCGAGAATACTACCAGCCGCGGAAGGGTAAAAGCCACGGATAGCATCCTGGGAAACACCACGCTGCACACGGAGCAACAAATCAAGGTACGACCGCTAACACGTACCGTGTCGTCATGAATTCATCTCAAAAAGACCGTTCGAGAAGTCCTGGCAGGAGCCCTGCGGCGAGGGGATGGCCGCCTGAGGACGACTACCGCGAGCCTTCCCGCCATCGAGGGCGCGCCGATCGCTACTACCAGGACGACGGGCCTTCGAGGGCCGGCGGCTGGCGCGGGGGCGAGCACCCCGACTCGCTGAGGTACGACGATGACGACTATGACGACTCCCACGATGACCGTGGTCGACGCCGCCCGAGGTCCCGCTCGCCCTACAGCCCCGATCGCTACGGTCGCTCCATGTCGCCACCCCCGCGACAGGGGCCATACCACACGTTGATCATGGAGGGCTTGCCGATGGAGGTCAGGGAGGACGATGTGAGTTCCTGCGGCCCAAGGGCTTTGCGCCGCGCCGGTTTGCTATTACATCAGTGCCTGAGCTGACGTATGCTTGTTTACTGGCAGATCCTCGACGGGTTCGACGCGTTTACAAGATTGTCGAATTTCTCGTCGGAGCATATACGATCTGTGCGCCTGCGTACCAACAAGCTGAGTTAGTGACAGCCTCGGATCCTCAAGCTGTGCCGAGCCACAAGCCGGCACTCGGCGAATGGACCAGCCTCACTAACCCTTTGGTATAGATCGCCGGATATGCTTCGTCGAATTCAACACGGTCGCCGAGGCCGAGGACTTTGCTGAGAGGTGCCATTTCAGCATGGATCTGGACCTACCCACCATAGGCGGCTTGAAAATGGAGACTGTGCGGGTGAACCTCAACTACAGTAGAGCCAGGGAGGACGGCGGCCGGGGAGACAACCGTTCCGAGAGCTCCTGGACATGTCCCAGTGTTTGTGACCCCCCATCTTCCCCGCCCAACCGCGCATGTTCTAACCACACGACCGTCAGTGCGCCGCCGCCAATTACTCCCGTCGGTTGACCTGCTACAAGTGCGGCTTGAAGAATGGTACGCTTCCCGGTCCTGTCCCCAGACCAACTACCATGCTAAGGTTCTCTCTCACAGATGGTGAC